TGTCACCTTTTTTGAAGGAGCCGAAAATTCACCTACATCTCATCCAGGCATGGCAGTGAGCATCTGAATTTCGTTGAACACTGTCTTGTCTCTAGGTTTACTGGAAGCTTTGTTTTGGCATTTAGGATCTTGGCAGAGTTGTTGCAGATTGTGCCATTAACCTGATTTGTGGATTGTGTTATGTTAATGCTGGGAGGTATACTGGTTTATCTGGTATACTCGTTTAAATTTCACATACAATTTGTATTTTTCAAATATGTACACACATACTGAAATGCGTGTGACTCTGGTGTTTTCAGCATCTTCCATGAATTATATGAGGGAATTCCACATGGACTTCATGTTTAGGCATGTGACCGTATCAAATTTTCATGTTGCGATAATTGCTAAAGCTTTTATCACGGTATTGAAATTTGGTTGTGAAACAGTGTTGTCATAATAAAGTATAACAGGTTTGATAACTTTTTTTCTTATATTAAAAACAACTGAACATTTAAATACAATAAAGCAATACACAAAAAATGTTTCAAACAGATTAAAGTGCAAAAGAATTACAAAGAATAATAGATAACACTTCACAATAAGGTCTCATTAGTTTGAGTTATTTCACTCAAAAAAATTTAAATTAGTCCATGTTTTACTCACCCTCAAGGCATCCTAGGTTTATATGACTTTCTTCTTTCAGATGAATCCAAACTGAGTTATATTTACATTTTTTCTTGCCTTCCAAGCATTTTTATGGCAGTGGGCAGGTTTTTTTGTTCAACAGTCCAAAAGTAGTCAAATAAAGCACATCCGTCCATATTAAAACATGCCTCATGTAGCTCCGGGGGGTGAATAAAGGCCTCCTGTAGCCTTTATAAGGCCTCCTCCCATAAGCTGTTCCGGCAGATGATGTAGGAGGTATGTGACGATATAAGCCAAGAGGAGACTGGTTTTCCTTTGGTAAAGTAAAGCAACTTTTATTCCTTTGCTCCTGTAAACAAACGTTGGTTTTTGCGAGACTCACACGTGCGTGCGCTATGCCTACATCTGGCGACATCCGCCGGAAAGGCAGCCTCTTGTGAATGTGCGTATGACCGTTAACGGAAGTTACACAGAACAGTTTATATCGCTTTAAATATGGATACTTTTTTTACAAAAATGCATTGATTCACTACATGAGGCCTTTAATCACCACCCGTGTGAGGCACTTTTTAATATGGATGGATGCGCTTTATTTCACAACTTTTGGACTGTTGAACAAAAACACTCGCCCATGCCATTATAAAGCTTGGAAGAGCAAGGACAGTTTTTAATATAACTCCAATTGGATTTGTCTGAAAGAAAGAAGTCATATACACCTAGGATGCCTTAAGGGTGAGTAAAACATGGGCTAATTTTCATTTTTGGGTGAGCTAACCCTTTAACCTTAGTTTAATGTATTAACATTAACAATGAGCAGTTACATTTGTTACAGAAGTTATTATTCTTTGTTAAAATTAGGGCTGGGCTATTTTTCAGATTTTATAGATTAATTCGAATTTAATGTTTTGCCACGATTACATTTTTTTAAAATTGAGGAATCGCGATTTTGAATAGAAATGTTACTAAACGTCAGAATTAGACACTTAGAGAATATGCCACTGATAACAGTAAAGAGAAAAGAACAATCCATCCGCATGTCGGCGCACGTGATGAACCTCTTACATGTGGCGCGCTCATATCGCGAAGCGCCATTCACACAGAATGTGCTTTTGTGTTGATAAATATGCGACGCGTGCAGAGGAATAGGAAAAACATGCAAGAAGATGGGAGTTGAACTTCTCTTAACTTGAGCGCCGCGTTTTTAAAATGCCATTTTAATGTATGAGACGCTGCAAGAGATGCGAGCGCAATAGTCAAACCATTTTATTTCCATTAAATATTTATTTACATGTTTACATAGAAAAAACTATGGAAAAGCAGCACAATCAAATAATTCCGGCAGATGATGTAGGAGGTATGTGACGATATAAGCCAAGAGGAGACTGGTTTTCCTTTGGTAAAGTAAGGCAACTTTTATTCCTTTGCTCCTGTAAACAAACGTTGGTTTTTGCGAGACTCACACGTGCGTGCGCTATGCCTACATCTGGCGACATCCGCCGGAAAGGCAGCCTCTTGTGAATGTGCGTATGACCGTTAACGGAAGTTACACAGAACAGTTTATATCGCTTTAAATATGGATACTTTTTTTACAAAAATGCATTGATTCACTACATGAGGCCTTTAATCACCACCCGTGTGAGGCACTTTTTAATATGGATGGATGCGCTTTATTTCACAACTTTTGGACTGTTGAACAAAAACACTCGCCCATGCCATTATAAAGCTTGGAAGAGCAAGGACAGTTTTTAATATAACTCCAATTGGATTTGTCTGAAAGAAAGAAGTCATATACACCTAGGATGCCTTAAGGGTGAGTAAAACATGGGCTAATTTTCATTTTTGGGTGAGCTAACCCTTTAACCTTAGTTTAATGTATTAACATTAACAATGAGCAGTTACATTTGTTACAGAAGTTATTATTCTTTGTTAAAATTAGGGCTGGGCTATTTTTCAGATTTTATAGATTAATTCGAATTTAATGTTTTGCCACGATTACATTTTTTTAAAATTGAGGAATCGCGATTTTGAATAGAAATGTTACTAAACGTCAGAATTAGACACTTAGAGAATATGCCACTGATAACAGTAAAGAGAAAAGAACAATCCATCCGCATGTCGGCGCACGTGATGAACCTCTTACATGTGGCGCGCTCATATCGCGAAGCGCCATTCACACAGAATGTGCTTTTGTGTTGATAAATATGCGACGCGTGCAGAGGAATAGGAAAAACATGCAAGAAGATGGGAGTTGAACTTCTCTTAACTTGAGCGCCGCGTTTTTAAAATGCCATTTTAATGTATGAGACGCTGCAAGAGATGCGAGCGCAATAGTCAAACCATTTTATTTCCATTAAATATTTATTTACATGTTTACATAGAAAAAACTATGGAAAAGCAGCACAATCAAATAAAAAACCTTTAAAGAACTACTACTGTATGTCTGATATTTCATGTTTGCATCATGGTGACAGGCTGAAAGCTGCTATTCATTGTTTTCACAGAACATTTATTATTAATAGTCTACTGGTGTTATACCGTCAGAAGTCAGAAAGAGCTTTATTACCAAGTATGTTTACACACACAAGGAATTTGACTTAGTGACAGGAGATTCCAGTGCAAAAGAAAGTATGGACAGTGCAAACTAGTGCAGCAGACATAGGAATTGCACAGTAGAGATGGAGTATAACACTAATATAAGAAAAACAGAAAATTAAATGATGCACTATATATAGAAGTAGAAACATAGAGAAATGTAAACGTTTAAACAAATGTACTGATACATTTACAAGTGTGCCGTTTACAAATGATTTTTGGATTCTATGTATAAAGTCAGTAATTTTGAATTTGAATTACATTGACTGTTAAAAAATGTTTTAAGCGTTTTCATTGTAGCCTATTATTTCTGAACATACACTGTTAAAAATAATGCTTCAAAAGGTTCTTCAAGCGATGCCATAGAAGAACCATTTTTGGTTCCACAAAGAACCATTCAGTCAAAGGTTCTTTAATCTATTCATGTCTGGAACTGCTCAGAGAGTTCACTTCATGAGTATTTAAGCATTTGAGTGTTTTACAACAGCCCATCACATTAAAAGTTTGTTTTAACTAGATGCTGCATTCATGAAGAACAGCAGTATGTTTGTTGTCAAGGCTGAGAGGACGCTAACAAAAAATACTGTGAGACAGATTTTTGGTCTCACTTCACAGTTCTGTGTTATATGGTGTTTTTAGGAATGCGCCGAAATTAAAATTCTGTGCCGAAACCTCAGATTCTGGATACATTCGGCTGAAAACCAAAACCGAAAATGCTTTGTAATAATTATTTATTATTTTATTAAATAATATAAAGTAATTTTGTAAGACTTTTTAATTTAACTAAATTTTAATGATACTGAATTTAAAAAGCACAAGCCAATAAAATAATCACAGTGTTAATTGAAAGTAACGCAATAAAATTGTACAGGAAATATATTAATATATTTTTTGACTAATTATCCAAATAATGAATAGTCCTATAAAGCTATTATTATCAGAGCATGTGAGCAGAGCATAGTGGAAATCAGTGAACGAGAGGGTAGCTTCATTTTACCTGCGTTGCCATGTTACAGCACAGTTGTGCTATTGCAAAAAACAACAAGAAGACATTTCCTACATAGACATTTCCTGTCGCATTATTTGAGTGCACTTTGCTTTTCTGGTGAGCATGACCGGTACATGAGCGGAACGTACATTCATACTGCGGAATATTAAATGTAGCATCACACCGCACAGTGATGAAGGTTAGAAGGAGAGTAAAACCTGCGCACTGAACACTGCCGGGCAGCGAGATGTGCCATATATTTATCTATTTTCGATCATTTTTGGTGGCCGAAATTTCAGTGCATCCCACTGCTGTGCATTTTCAGTGCACGCCCACTGCTATGATTGGCTTGTGTATGTTTGACAGTCATCCTTCACAAAATGGATGCTGTGATTTAGGTTAAAAACACATAAATACTCACATATCAAATGATATGTTTAACAGACAAAGCAATAGTGACCACATTAAAAAAAAACAGTTACACTTGTGTTTCGACATGATTGGGTCACAATATAGTCGGCACAGCATCGTCTTTTAGTTTCAATCTTTTTGAAAGTCCTGCATCGAATCGTGACTTGTTTGTAAACGAATCCGCAGTAAAATTAAGTGAACAAGGGATAGAGTTCTTACTGACACGGTCTGGATCTTCATTAAAAAAATAGTCTATTCACTCTTTCCTAACGTTGGGATCAGAAGGAAGGCAATGCAAACACTGATTTTTTTTACACTACTTGGCACTGCACATTTTCTTGTTGTCTTCAGAGCCATCTTTATCGTTTCTGTTTCTGCGTAGACCTGCACATCTCTCCACTACAGGCGTGAATCGATAGACAGGGCTAAACAGGCAGCATGTTGATCTTCTTCTGCAGAGAAGCACTACACTACACTACACGCTTACAATTTTACATCATAGATTATAACATTCCAAAAGCTGTCGTTTGGCAGACTGCCTTCAAAATAAACTGTTTTAGACTAATGACAAAGTTTTGAGTTCTGAAACTTACAGGATGTTTTTATAAGTACAATATGACCTCTTGTATGTGAAAATAAATTTTGGGTTCCCTTGACCCTATTTAAAGAATCACTATAATACATCAGGGGTCTGGTCTTCATACGTGGATTACTCAATTAGCTGGATTTCATTGTTGGCAATTTCACATAATCCAGGATTGTTAAATTCTTCTAAGCTTATCCTGGAGTCATAGCAACAGGTCCATAAGCTCAAACCTGCTTGGGAACAATTCAAGTTCAATTCAATTCAAGTTTATTTGTATAGCGCATTTCACGATACAAATCGTTGCAAAGCAACTTTACAGAAAATTAAGTTTCTACAATATATTTAGTAGTAGCGTATCAGTGGTGACTGTCAGTGTAACGAGTGGGGGCGGGGCCGAGAGCCGTGGGAACGGAACGAGGCCGGTGGAGTAATTGATAATGAGCGACACCTGCGCCACTCACCGGTCTCGAGTCCCACGGAGGAGCTCCGGAAGGATAAAAGGAGGAGTGACGACAGTGAAAGACGAGAGAGGACCAGGCCTGGACTTTATTTTGTGTTTTGTGTGCAGGAGTCATCCGCGAGGGGCTGCTGCTTTACTTTCATTTTGTGTTTGTTTTATTATTAAAATATTTAAATGTTCGCCGGTTCCCGCCTCCTTCTTCCCGCACTACGAACGTTGTTACAGTCAGTTAATGTACATATGGCAGAAATGTATGGAAAAATCAATTAAAGATGTAATCAAACAGATGATGAACACTTTTAACTATTAACAGCAATTATTATATGATGCAATCAAACGTATAGCAAAATTTGGTAGTTCTGTATGTTGTTTCAGGGTTGGCATCATCTGAGGTCCTCTGAGGAGTTGGCATCATCTCTTCTCAGATGTTCTGAACAGGCTTATTTCATGCAAACCAGATTAGAGTGTATAATTTTAATTAAGATCCCGGGTTTTAACACTATATTAAAACAGAGAGAGAGAAGAAAATTCCACATTAGTGTCAATTTATTTTTAACCTACATTTTTAAACATTTTTTTCTCTAAGAATATATATTTGTAAGTAACAGCTTGTCAATAACATATACAAACATTTCAGCTGAACTGTAAACTAAATTATGCCAGATTTAATTTTAATACTTACATATCCTAAATTCTGTCCAAAAATGCTGAGTTCCATAGAGAGAAAGACTCCAATTGAGGATTTAGCGCTCAGCTTGTCTACAGTGAAGTGGTAGCTGTTTAAGTGACGTGACATGTGGCCAAGTATGGCGACCCATACTTGGAATTAGTGCTCTGCATTTTAACCCATCCAAAGTGCACACACACAGCAGTGAACACACACACCGTGAACACACACCTGGAGCAGTAGGCAGCTGGGGGTGCGGTGCCTTGCTCAAGGGCACCTCAGTCGTGGTATTGATGGTGGGAGAGAGCGCTGTACATTCACTCCCCCCACCTACAATCCCTGCCGGTACGAGACTCAAACGTTTAAAACAGTATTAAAACAACAGCAGCAGGAAACATTGCTTTTGTTAATAAATGTAAGCAAAATATGATTTCAAGTACAGCTTACCTCAGGAATCTTGCTAGCAATCTCCAGCGCGAATTGGCGGGACATGGTACGAATCGTCTTCGTCTCCTCCCTAGGTGGTTTTGACCAGCGGTTTTGACGCGATGGTTAGTCGATTAACATAATAAAGCGATTATGGTATAAATACTATATTTTACTTAGAACAATACAGAAGTAAAACGAAATGGCACGTCGCTGTCATTAGACTAAAATGACTATGGGCTGACTGGATTCTGTTCAAAGACCCTAATGTTAGTCCCTATTGGTTCACACTAGCTAATTTAAATAACAGACGTCTTTAAAAACTACACATAAAGTGTTAAGCACATTGGTCTACACATATTGTGTTAAATGCTGTGTATAAATTCACAAGTTGTGTTGCTTTTTAAACGACACATAAATATGTGTAAAAGAGGTTATTCTTTTCCACATATTTTTATTTAATATTGACACCAAATGTGTAAATTAAAGTGTTACACATAACGTGAGTTATTTTTCTAAGAGTGTAGTTAAAATGTTTTTTTAATTTTTTATTGGCGTGTGTTTGCGCACATTATAAAATGTAACATACTTTTACTTTAATATACTTTAAAGGGTGTTTGCCCACTTGGCAGAACCAAGAGCAGGGGCTACTGTGGGGGTGTGAAAACAGCTGACAGAAGCATGTGTTTGAGGGGCTGTTTGCAAGATACATGTCACACTGGCTCTTTGCACTGGGACTATCATGAGATCATGTCAGCGCCTGTGTCAAGGATCTTCTGATTTGTCATGCATTTTGCTACAGCAAGTTAACTGTTTTGGCCCTATGACCAGTCACCTCCACAGCTCATTTCTTAAAAGTAACCTCTTCACTTCCAGCTGGGATGCTGTGCCCTTTATTCCGGAGATATTGGATGGGGATGCCAATATCTTTAGAGATGACATAGTTGTCCCCAGATGCAATTCATGAGCCAAGCAGTCCAGTGCTGTTGATTGAATGCTCACACTTGGGAGGTACGGGATTTACTGGTCCAATCTTTGGTCTGTAGAAGATCATTAAAAGAAGAAGCTGGATATTTAATGGCATTTTGTGAATTATGGTGGTGGCTCTGGTCTCAGGAGCAGAGGGAGAATAAGATGCTGGCTGTGCACTTGAGAGCCAAAGAAGTTGAGACTGATGCCCGTGTGTCTGTCTGCATCTATTAAACACTGCAGGGATCAGAACTCAGAAGAATGGCTCAGCCCGGGCTTTAACCAGCTGCCTACTGAATTTATATCACTGTACATTCAGTTCTGAGACACTTCTGAGACTATACTGCTATAAATTGTGCATGCTAAAGTGTGTTAAAGCTGTGTCCCTATATGGCTGTGCACCAAGCTAGAACTGAACTAAATAAATAAAGATAAGTTTTTTTAGTGTTTCCCACAGGATTGTTATTTATACAGTGAAGATTATTCAGTGTTATTTTACACTTGATTATTCAGTTTCTGTTGTTGACTATTACTTACCTGAATAAGCTGTTTGTTTAGCTAAAAATAGCTGAATGAAGCCACTCACACGTGTATATATATATATATATATATAATATGGAATAATCGATGGAATAATCGGTAGAATTCTTGATTACTAGAATAATTGATAACTGATCACTGTTAGCTGTGGGACTGGCAGGGTCAACACATAGCCCAGCATAATGCTCCAGCACTCACTGCAGAGTGATGAAAAATTTGTTTCTAGTTAATTTCCTCTAGCTTTTACTGTGCTCCATTTCAAAGAATGATTTCCTCCAACATTTTTTTTTGTGATTTCCTTGCACTTCTTCCGGTTTTTAATTCTTTTTTTTTTTTTTACTATCACTCACACTCACAGGCATCTCTCACCCTAACTAATAGACTAATGCTACATTTCACGTATCTACCCATGTGCAGGACTCTGCCTTAAAGATGAACCATAAACCAGTGGTGTAGTCCTATGAAAAAAAGGGGTTTACTATTACCCAGTCGACAGTTTTGAGTGGTGAGTGGATTCTGAACTTAAACCCTTCTGATTGCCATTGCATTCAAGAAGTAATAGTAACATTTGACACTCTCCAGAACATAAATACAGATGGTATAGTTTGCCAAATTTGTTTCACCAATATGCTATTATTACAGCTTCAACTAAGGGTGCTTTTGCTTTCTTTCACTCCTGTAGAACCGTGCATAAAGGCTATTATCGTTATAATTGGCATCAAACAGTTTGAAAAACCACTGGTCTGTGTTCAGTGAGTTCTGTCTCTCTCTCATAGATATGTATAGGTAGATTCCACATTCAGCTGCTCAAGGCACGTTGACATGTCTGCCATCTTGGAACAGTCGATGTGTCGTCACTCACAATAACAATAAGTTTCAAGATGCCACAACATTGCTCAGCATGTGATTGTAAAAACTGCTGAAATGTAAAATTCCTTAAGAAATTGTCTAAACTTTCACAGGTAAGAATTTGTTGGTTTGTGTTTTTAATACACATTAACTCAGTATTACAGATTTTTAAATAAGTACTAAATATAGTAACTTTTAAATGTTGTGTTCGCTTAGGGATGCTCATTTCGGTTAATTTTCCTGACCCACAACCGCTGTTCGTTATCCGAACAATAACTGTTAACTGATCAAATTTGAATAATAAATCATTTCCATTCTATAAAAATAGAATGGGTGAGCGTCTGTGATGATACATTAAAAATACAAACACATTTTATTTTAACACGCAAACAGCAGCATAGAGCAAACCTAAAACCTGGAATTACACATCCTCAAATGATCACGTACAAGCAGCGCTTATGAGAAAAGAGAAAAAACATAAAATAATAAATAAAAGAGAATAAAATAAATAGGCCTACATTAAATATATATAAAAAAAATCATTAACAAATTAAGATGACAAAACTAAAACACACACTGAATTCTTCTATGCGCTTTTAAGAAAGGCAGTCGTTTTCCCGTCAGACATAAAAATATGTACAGGCCTATCTCAGTGTACATGTCTTTTTTTCTTTTCATTTCTTAAAGTAACGTCAACATGCTGTAGGCCTACAGATAGAGGAGTGCTGCCTGCTAACTGTTAGACCCGCGACAAAAACACCATCACAAAAATCCCATCAATTTGTGGTTCAGGCCTTTTCATCCACTGGTCATGTGTTTCTATTCACGGCGTGTTTGCAGCAGCATTGAGTAGTATAGCCAATCACAGACATATATGTTGATTTCATGAACGCAATCCACTCACCCCACCCAAA